GCCCTGGGTGACCCCCGTGAGGTGCCCGCAGAGAGAACCGCAGCCTGTTGCCTCTGACCCCATTCCCAAGCAGAGTAACCCTTGCAACAGTGGTTGCAAAAAAAAAAAAAAAAAAAAAAAAATCATTCCATTCTGTTGTCTTCAGCTGATTTTTGTTTTTCTTTGGCTCGGAGGATTTGGGGAAAGATTTTAAGTCATTTGATCCGAAAAACGACCGTTGGAATTTGTCAATCTTTTTCGTAAGTGTAATCACAAGAGGGGGACTTCCTTCTTCGTCTCATGTCCCCCTCAACCCCAAAAAACAAAAAAACACAAATGTTGTGTCTGAATGAGATTGTCCTTCCGAGTGAGCCTCTGCAGCGCCTCTCGCTAGAGCTGACCCTGCTGGCGACGCTTGCGGAATCGCACAGCTTTGGAACCACCGAGAAAGGCACTCGTCCGCTACGGCTGCATCTGTGGTTTGGTTTTGCTGGCCGTGTGCGTGATTCCCCAAGTGTTTTGTTAGCGAATTTACCAGTCTTGCCTCTGATGACATACATTTGTTCACAAAAATTCACCCTCAAAGATAAATACATTGAAAAGATTCAAAAGTTCAGACACAAGTTCTAAAAAGCAGTTGAGTACTAAGCAGCATTCTTTAAAAAAAGTAAGTGTAGCGCCAACAAAATTGACCACTTTGAATGGGCCAGCGTTCATTTGATTGGATGCTTCTGCAGGCATCACTCATCATTTGCACATTATCATGCACGTGCTGGAGATCCTTTTGTGCTCATTCCCGGCACCTCTACCATCCCAGTCCCACAGCAATATCACCGTGCGATTTCTTTTATTCTTTTTATTTGTTCCTGTAGGGAATGGGGAGAATTTATCAAAGAGCCATCCAAGGGTCTGTCTGCCTTAGGGCAGTGGTCAGCAAACTCATTAGTCAACAGAGCCAAATATCAACAGTACAACGAGTGAAATTTCTTTTGAGAGCCAAATTTTTTAAACTTAAACTATATAGGTAGGTACATTGTTATTAACTTCATTAGCGAACTCCTAAGCTGGCCTTTGCTAAAACGTCCTCCCAACTCTCCCATCCACACTGGTCTTGTATACTTGTTTCGTCTATCTCCTTTCGTTCATCCTCTCTATATGTCCAAACCATCTCAACATACCTTCCTCAATCCTCAACACTACATCTTCTTTCACTCCACAACGTTCCCTAAAATTAACTTCATAAACTTTACTTAAAGTTTTAAGTCTTAGTTAAACTATAGGGACGTTGATTAAAACTTGATATCATACTTAATAACGATATTATTTATTAATTAAATTCCTTACAATTTACCTTACAATATCCATAAAATTAAATCATGACAATGACTGACAAACACTAATGTGAACAATGGCCTTGCATCTCCTTGGGAAGTTTGGGTAAGTCAGGTTTGTATGTTGTTGCCAGCACGTGGTATTTTGTGGAAGAGCCACACTCAAGGGGTCAAAGAGCCGCATGTGGCTCGCAAGCCGCGGTTTGCCGACCACTGTCTTAGGGGAACTAGGTGCAGAGTGGTATGATGTCTGGCATCAGGCCACTTAACATGGAAAGGGCTGCTAAGGTGGGTGCTCTCCACACACAGGTCCTTTTAGACTACTCCAGTCCATCCGTAATGCTTCCAGCACCCCATCTCACCTTACTACACCAGATTGTTCAGTAATACATTTATAAAACCTGTAGCAAACCAGTACAGTTGTCATGTGTTCAAACTTTTCATTTGACACTGTAGTTGTAAGGGTTAATTATGCAACAGCAGCAAAGGTCCTAAACCTAATACCAGATACAATCCCTACTGGATACATAATGTCAAACATTAAAAAAATATTCCTGAGCCAACATTGATACTTAAAAGTTAGGAACTGATTTATATTATGAATTTATGAACAGGAGACTACCTGTCCCTTGTATAGTGAAGTAGCCTGTATCTTTTCCTTATGAGTTAAAATACTGAAGTTGTCCCTTTAAATGATAGCTCTGCAAATAATAAAATAAATGACCATGAGACATCTGGATACCAGGAACAGCTGCTCTTTAAATAAGTAGTCGATGTTTAAAAGTACATGCCCAGCTTTTTCTTGAATAAAATGTATAGCTTTAAATGTCTTATATTAAGTATGTAAACTTGTAACTGACAACTTACATTTTTGTCAACAAACTTAGGTGTGTCCATAGCAGGAAAAAAATTAATGTCGCATTTATCCTTCTGTTATCAACTCTAATAATAGACTTTATTTAAATAAAACTCTTCTGTTTCTGGCTGACTTTATGTGCTCTTAAGCTTCAGCTGTTTTGTTTTATTTTTCAGATCAACAGAAAGATTTAAAAAAGAAGATGATCTTGACAGTCTTATTAATGAAATATTTGAAGATCCCAACTTTGATAAAAAATCCTTTGTAAGTCAAGTGTTATAAATATGCAATAATTTTTTTCATTTTTAAGATGTTTAAAATAGTCTGAAAACTTACAGAATGCACAAGTATCTATAGTTCTTTGCATTCTGAGAAATACTATCATCTAAATAAATTATTCCACATAGAGTTGTAGAAGAAATAAAATATTCAAAACTCTGTGTGTTTTGTGCTATTCATTTTCAGCAAGAAAGCAAAATTAGAAAAGCTGCTATAACAAAAGTCAACTCATAGTTGAAGTTGGTTACCTGTATTTATTTATAGACTCTATAAGAACACTTTTCTGAAAGACCGAAAACAAACAGCTTTCATATAGGAATGTGCTTAGCATCTCAGATGCAATGCCATTGCTGTTATCCCATAACCCGTGACTACATTGTTAATATTTTAAATATTTACCAGTAAATGCTTGTGTATCTACATTAACTCTATGAAAAGCTTATAAAATAATATAACAGCCACCTATATACTGCTCATACTGAACATATATTAATGTTTTGCCATATTTGCTTTGCTTTAATTTTTTAAATAAAAATTATAAGTATAGTTTAAAAACTCCAAATCCTACTTATTGCCTTCCTACCCAGAGGTAACCACTAACCTTTCTATCCATACTTGTATACTTTTATTACATAGGTATTAACCGTAAGTCATTTTCATTGCTGAATAATACCTTGTTAAGTAATTCTAGCACAGTTTATCCACTTCCCTGGTAACGGACATTTAAATTATGCCCAGTTGTTGCTCTTACAAACAATGCCTCTTCAGACATCTTGGCACTCTTCTTTTACTCACATACAGGAGTTTCTCTAGGATGCATAAACTTGAAGAGGAATTGCTAGGTTATAAGGTGTGCTCATTTTCATTTTTTTTACCCATTGCCAAAGTGTTTTCCAAAGTGCTGTATCAGTTATATTCTTACCAGTAGTGTATGAGCATTTATATACTTTAATTTTTACCATTTTGGTCATTATAAAATATATTTGTTAGATTTTAAGTAAAGAGACCAAATGAAAGTCTAAGTTACAAGGACCACAAAGAAAAATAAATATAAAAAGATAAATATAATACCAAAGTTTTTTTAAGGGTAGGGAAAACTAAAGCAAGACAGTGGACTAAAAACCAGTAGGCAGTGCTGGTGTTAAGGATATGGACATGGGCCAATTACGTTTTTGTCAACCAGACGAATAAAATGACTAGTATAGACCTTATCTTTATTTCTCTAAATTTAACATTTTCAATTAATCCGAGGTAATAACTAAGCTGATGGCCTCATTGATTTACATGTCAACCCAATAGCAATGGTGTTGAGTACTCTGTGAACAAGAATGCATCATAAATGCCAAATAGCTATGCTGATTTAATCAATAGTAGAAAAAATAAACTACATGACGTTCTTGTTGTGATTCATTGATCACCTGAGCAATTAATGATTAAGTACTTACAGAGTGAATATCTGTATGTGAGACACTATTTCTTCAGTTCAGGGCATTTCAAAAGCAGAAGGCAATATGTCTCTGGCTTGGCTTTAAGATACACAAATCTGAGCCCTGGCCAGTGGTTCAGTGGTTAGAGCATTGCCTCAAGCACCAAAATGTTGCAGGTTCAATCCCCGGTCCCAGTTGGAGCACATGCAGGAGGCAACCAATCAATGTGTCTAACATCGATGATTCTCTACCCCTCCCTCCCTACCTCCCTCTCTTCCACTCTCTCTAAAAATCAATGGAAAAATTATCCTTGGATGAGGATTAACCAAAAAAGATATACAAATTTGAAATAAAAGTAACTCTTACAGTCATGAGGAGATAAGCTTTTATGTACTTCTTCTGCATGCTCCTTTTTTAAGTTGTTATATCCAGGTTTCCAGCCTGCAAGGGAGAAAGAAACCCAAATAAACTTCTGAAGGAGAGCAGGTCCATGTAAAACATTGAGTGGATAAGGAAAAGAAGCGTCTGAACGGCCCGTCCATGCCCACCTCGTCCTCAGAGGCCAGATGAAGCTCCTGGGAGTACTGCTCCTTCCCCCACTGCGTGCCCGTTCTGCTGCTCTCAGGCCCACACAGAAGAGCCCAGAGACAGCAGTAAACATCACAGTTTGCCAGCTCCAGGTCATAAGCAGGAGCCTGGATGGCACATGAAACCTTTGGAAAAGCAGAAGGAGACTCATGCACGTTATTATTTTTGAGACGTGTGCCCCAGATTTTTCCAGTTCTGTTTAACATCAAATAGAAGAGTTAAAAGAAGTAGTAAAATATTTTTGCCTCCATTAAACTTCCTCACCTACTAGGTCAAATGAAGCCACGTTGCTGCATAGTTTAAATTGCCTTTTCTCCATCTCACTTCCTCTTCTTGGCGGTGGGCTTAGTATGTGGGTTTATGTTGTTTGGTACTATACACCAGTTAACACTTAATAAATGCCTGCTAATGATGACGATGTTATGTAACCATATAGGAACTACTGTATGGTTGTGACTAGGTAGGTCCGCATTCTCCTCAAATGCCTGTTGGTTGGTACCTTTCCACTTGATCAAAATTAATATTCCTGAAGTTGCCCAGGAGTTTCGTTAGTTTATTTTTAGTTCAGGTGAGTACTATTCACAGCCTTTAAAAATGAGTTTGAGGTGTTTTTTTCCTCAATTGAATTTTTCCAGGATGAGGTTTTAAATAGAAGGCCCTTCATATTAAATCATTGAACTTCAGTATTAATTGAAGAATTATAAAGTGACTCTAAATCTTAGCATGCTAATAATGGCAGTATATCAATTTCCTAGACTAAAAGCAGAGTAATTTGCAAATTCCACAGGGAGGTCGACTTCCCTTTTGCCTTTAAGAAAAAGGTTTTGATCATTGTTTTTACTTCGGAAACTTTAAAATGATACAAGTTTTTTATTTTAAGTCATTCAAAAAATATTCTTGTTATAAAATGAAGAATATTAGTTTTCATGTTACAATTATCTAAGTTACTCTTGGCCTTTTATTGTTTTGTTTTCTTAACAGAAATTAAAACCTAAATCTTCAGGTAACACATCTGTCAGTGCTCCCATTCAAGGCCGCGGTAAAAGGTAAGTTGAGATTGCTTTCGTAAGTTATACACACTAGTGAGCAAACACTATGAGCATAGTCTAGTCGATTTTATTACCTTAAACAACAGTGACATTGAACAACAAAGCACTGGTTGGCTTTCAGGAGAAAGACCAATAGCAATATCTTTCGTGTTCCTATGGTCTGTGACCCCTTAGTGGAAAGGAACTTGAATGAGAGATTATTGCTATTGTAAATAATTTTCTGCCATGTGAAAAAAAAAAGTGTGAACACTTTCTCAAAATTAATGTTCTGTTATATTCTTCGGTATTTACTTTGTCTCTCACATTATTTGGCAAACACATTTCTCTGTGACTCATTTTAATTCTTTGAGTGTTCCTGACTATACAGGTTATACCCAATAAAGCAGTGATCCCGGAATACATACCTCTTCTTTAAAATGGTTGGCTTGCTCAGGAAAATATACAATTTGATTATAAGACTGTAGCGTTAACAAAGCCAAACTAACGTCTCATATTTCTTTCTTGTAATTTTCTTTTTCTCCCGCTTGTTGAACATATCTAGCTGCAACCCCGTGTACCTCGGTGGAAGCGCTGCTCCGTGTGGAATTGGAACAACTACTTCACAGAGGTGGGATGTCAGAAATATACTTCCTTACTAGGTTTTCCAATTTGATACCCTGTTTTTAAAACACAGATATCTTGGCATCGATCTGTTTCATAATCAGAAGTATATTTTCTTAGCCAGCCCAAGAGCGCTTTACTGAGATCTTAGTTATTTCTGGGTGGTCGCCGTTGAAAGCTGTGATGGTGGGTTTCTGCTGCTCCTGTGGTGACGCCTTTCTCTGGGGCCCACGTGCAGGGCCTGGACCACGCGGTCCCCACCTGGCTCCCACCGGACCGGGAGGGTGAGCGTCTGCCTCCCGTTTTCCTTCTGGGCAGAGGGAGCCGGTTGGTAAGACGCGAAGCAGCGCAGCCCCGCAGCTTCATGCGGTTCTCCCCACACTGACTTGGCCAAACAGCCCCGTGAGAACCCACACGCCATGGGCCTCGTCTAGATGAGGAGAGGACTCTACACAAAGAACTCCCAAAATGGGCGTTTAATTTTCACATGATGTGTAGTGTGAAGGGGAAGGACAGAAGACTATAAGCATAGATCAGTGGCACCCCAGTTACTACGAAGGGTTAGAAAATTCCTCCCTGCCCTGACCGGTTTGGCTCAGTAGATAGAGCGTCAGCCTACGGACTGAAAGGTCCCAGGTTCGATTCCAGCCAAGGGCATGTACCTTGGTTGTGGGCACATCCCCAGTGGGAGGTGTGCAGGAGGCAGCTGATTGATGTTTCTAACTCTCCCCTCTCCTTCTCTGTGAAAAAATCAATAAAATATATTTTTTTTAAAAGAAAATTCTTCCCTAAGCAAGTAACATCGACTCAGCCTATGATATGAAAAATGAGTAGAAGTGAAGCGAAGAGAGGGGACCATTGGGGCCAGAGGGTGTGCCATGTTCGATGCTCCCTGAGCTGGGAAACGTGTGGGAGGAGCTGAGAGCCCCTGGGGAGCTGCAGCGCAGGGAGTGGGGGAAGAGTGGCTCCTGATGGGGCTGGAGAGGTAGTCGAGGGACATTTGGTTTGTTAGCAGTCCTGTAATCCTCTGAAGATTTTTTAAAAAGTCGGTCATAGATGCAGTGAAAGCAAGTGGTGGGTGGGTGGGTGGGTGGTTGGTTGGTTTTTAGCAGATGGAGTCATCTAATCATATTTGTGTTTCTAAAGGAAGTTATTTTAGTTGCTGAATAGAAAATGGGTGGGAAGGTGAGAGGCAAGACAGGAGAGGGCCAGTCAGCAGGCAGTATTTCACAGTGGTCCAGGAAGGAGATGATGATGGTAGCGGTGAGCTGAGTGGTGGCAGTGGCTGTAGGGGAAAGGGGTCACATTTGAGCTGTTTAGAATCTAGAATTGACAAAATTCAGTGAATTTAACGGCTAAGAGAGAACATTGTTAGGAATGACTCCCAAGTAATGTGCCTTGCCCAAGGTCACATAAAGTATTACAAAGCAAGGACTCAAATGTGTAATTGAGTCCTGCTCCATTATGCTTCCTAGTAAACCAGTTTGTAGAAGGCCAGGTAATATATGTAAGAGGGGAGAACCGTGGCTGATTTTGCTACTGCAGCTGCTGTTCTTTTCCATCTGTCCAGATATCAAGAGTCCCTCGTCTACTGTGTAGATCTGACAGGATTTTACTGAAAACCACAGGGTCTGGGCAGAAGACTATATTGGGCTGTATTTGGAAAACCCCACCATAAACATCTTCAGAATAATAAACATTCTATTGATAGGCTGGACAAAGGGACAAAACTGTTGATGACACCTTCATATTCAATTGCCTCCACATTTTAGAAAAAGAAAAGTGACAATTTATCTTTCATTGAAATCATTACATTATTTTTTAATATATTTTTATTGATTTCAGAGAGGAAGGGAGAGGGAGAAAGAGATAGAAACATCAGTGATGAAAGAGAATCATTGATGGGCTGCCTCCTACACACACACACCCACACCCACACACACACTGTGGATCCAGCCTGCAACCCCAGCATGTGCCCTGACTGGAACTCGAACCGTGACCTCCTGGTTCAAAGGTTGATGCTCCACCACTGAGCCACGCTGGTCGGGCCATTATTTTAGGTATGCTCTAGCTATCCGTAGTTATGGAAGATAAATATGTTTATATAAGCACGGGCCATTACTTTATTTTAGGTATGCTCTAGCTATTTGTAGTTATGGAAGATAAATATGTTTATATAAGCACTGATTTACATGTCCAGGGAATAAGTGAAATTGAGTCTATTCTACCTGTTTTTTTATGTGTTTTATTTCTGGGTAGAGTTCTGGTTTAGGAGTAATACTCGATGATTTTAGAGTGTAAAGATTTGAGTTTAAAAAAAAAAAAAAAAATGTAAAGATTTTTACCCCGTTGATGGGGAAGGGAGAAAGAGTAGTAGCAGGAAGCGTGGTGGCATTAATAAGGTACAGATAAGACCAAGGCGTTATTTTCAAGCCAAATCGAATTTTACTCCTAATTATTTTTTAAACTACTTGCAAGGCTGGATTATTGCATAGACTGGTACTAATTATGATCTAACAAAGTGAATCGTAGCAGCAGAGTGATTTCTTAGCTGCAAGTGAGTTTTATTTTTCTCAAAGGACAGTGTTTGTAGGAAACTGTGGTAGTGTGAATAGATTTGAATAAACTACTAAATTTTAAATTAAATTAAAAAGCTGTATGTAACATTATGGTTGAGATTTTACACATACAGAACGTCAGGAAATTCAAAATTATAGTTCCCACAACAGCAATAATTCAGCCAAATTGCACATATGTATTAAAGTATTAAAGTTAACACTCTGTGCAATCATGTAATAAACTACATATGCATAAGAAAGCAAGTTATGGCGGCTTTGGGAGCCATCATTTTGCATTTCCTGACTTTGTACGTTCAAAATCCAAGTTCAAATGTATACAAATATAATTGTGTTGAATTTCCATATGTACAAGTACAACTTCATAAATTGCTCACAGTTTAAAAGAAAATATGGACTTATGAAACTTGTGTAGATTTTAAATGTTTAGTTACTGTTATGATTAAACATAATTTTAGAGAGAAAGCATTTATTGTCAAAGGAATCTTTAAGCCAAAAAAATTGCAATTTTGAAGTTACTATATTTGAATTTTAAGGAAAATAAGTGAAAAATATTTGGGTTTTACTTTATTATTTTTTAATTACAGAAGGATTATATCCTTATTGAAAAAATAAAAACAAACTTGAAAAAATGTATAAAGAGAAGGATAGTAATTTCCTTCCCACCCTCCATTCCCATCATTCCTGAGACAGCCAGTGTGGGCTTGATAGTGTATTACCGTGTACATTTTCTTCCATGTTCTTACCTTATAAATACCTGTTTAGGAATTTTTTGTTGTTTTTTACAAAAATAGGGTCATGCTATATATGTTACTGTGCACCTTGTTTTCGACATCTTTCTAGGTCAGTGAAAAATTAATTCTCTTTATCAGCTGCCTAATATTGCATAGTATAAATATACTGTATGTTATTCATTTCTTTCCCTTTTAGGTAGGTATCCAAGTGGTATCTTGCTTTTTGCCACTTCTACAATGCAATAGTAGAAATTCTTGAGATATATGCTTATATTGGTGCTTTAATTTATATGCAATAGCTTCTCCAAAATGGAATTGCTAGTGCAACAGTGAGGGGTAATTTTAACTTTAAAATAACCCCATAGGTTAAAGCAGTTCACATACCCATCAGAAATATCTGAGGGTGCTAATTTTTGCTAACTTAAATTGGTTAAAAATTTATTTTGTTGTTGCTTTAAATTTTAATTATTTGTATATTGTACCTTTTAAACAAACAGGCACTGTTAGAAGCACTTTAACAATATTAACTCATTAGGTCCTCATTGTAATTCTAAAAGATGTATAAAAATTATTAGTATCCCTATTTTACATATAGGGAAACAGTTACAGAGAGAAGTTGAGTTACTTGACTGTAGTTGGACAGCTAGAAAATAGTAGAATCAGTAGTTGAACCTAGGCAATTTGTATTCAGAGTCTATGCTCTTAACTACCATTCTACAATACCTGTATTAGTGAGATTGAATATATTTTTTTAAATATATTTTATTGATTTTTTTTTACAGAGAGAGAGAGAGAGAGAGAGAGAGAAACATTGATGAGAGAGAAACATCGATCAGCCGCCTCCTGCACACCTCCTACTGGAGATGTGCCCGCAACCAAGGTACATGCCCTTGACCAGAATCGAACCTGAGACCCTTCAGTCCACAGGCTGACGCTCTATTCACTGAGCTAAACCGGTTAGGGCTAAATATATTTTTAAGCTTTGTCTTTGTCATTTGTAAACACTCTGAACAGTATAAGTAAGTATTGAACCTCGTGCTGAAAATGTTTTCTTCCACTATTTTTCACTTTGTTTTTGTTTTTGGTTTGTTTGTGGTTTTTTTCGGTGTTTTTTGTTTTTGTTTTTGTTTTTGAGAATTTCTATAAGAGTTTATTTGAGCCTACCTGATGACATTCCTGGGAAGCAAGATGTCAGATGCTCCTGTTCTTGGTATCTTAAAAACTCTTATTTCCTTTTAATTTTTAGGTGATCAAATGTATCTATATTGATTCTAGTTTTTAAATATTTCAAGCAATATTCTTTAAAGTAAGCCACAATTATTATACAAATCAAATTGTTTGCAGCAGCAACTCATAAATTTTGTCATATAATCACTTATTCCTAAAGTTACATGTAGTATATGAGCTTTAAAAATTGCTTGGCATTTGAATTCCTCAGATATTCACTAAGCGTAATTCTAGCAGTTTTGTCCTCTTTCCTGCATCATCGTTTTGCTCTTCACTGCATCTTTGCTTTTTTCCCTCCTTTCTTACTAGCACATAGCAGGCTTTCAGTAAATACAGGATGGAGCAAATTAGGTTTTCAATTGTTTATGTGAAAAATAATACAATACTTAGTAAATAATAATATAAAAAACTTTCATGTACTCACAACTGTAAACCTACTTTTGCCTATCGTTTTTTGTTTTTTAATGAGTGGATGCATGCGTTAATGCCAACCACTGGGGAAACAAACAAATAAGATACTGTCCCAGCACGTAAGTAGCTTAAGGGGGAGACATTCATTTCTATATAACGTGGCAAATTCTGTGATAAAGGCATTCTTGAAAATTTTATTAGGAAAGGAAGCAACTTAAAGAAGTTAAGTGAAGACTTCCCTCAGGCACAATTTGAAAACCATTGAACTAAAAGATCTACACATTTGTTTCCTTTCTTTTCTACCTGTATAATATATATGTGTGCATAAATGTGTCAGCATATAAGATCTTAGTAAAATAGGTATATGTAGAAATTAACCTGGAATTTTAGATATATAATTAGTCCTTTAGTATAAAAATTTACAATCAGTTTAATCTTTATTTTTTTGTTGTTCACTCAGTAATTTGTAATATATGGTATATCCTATGAATAAATCACCGTATTTTTATATTTAAACATACCAATTATCTTTAATGTACAGTTCTTTTTCTCTGAACAGATCATGTGACCATCTGCGTTGTACAGCGTGTGATTTCTGGGTTGTAAGCTATGATGACTATATGTGGGACAAATCATGCGATTATCTGTTTTTCAGGTAAGCTTCTAAAGAATTTCACTGTAAAAATGCCCCAAGTATAACTTTATATTTCTATTTTGCTGTAATGTCTCTTGTGGACTTGGCCAGATTGTGTGGCCTCTACCTCTTCAACATTCCTCTCACCCATCTCCTTTTTTTCCATCTGTCTGCTGTCAGCCTAGGTAAAACATGTTGCTTCTGGACAAGAATCTAGATATTACCTTCTTGCCCAGCTGGTGTCGCTCAGTGGTTGAGCATCAACCTAAGAACCAGGAGGTCATCGTTCAATTCCTGGACAGGAGGGGAATTTGATATGCCCAGGTTGCAGGCTTGATCCCCAAGAAACAGCCAATCGATGATTCTCTCTCATCATTGATATTTCTGTCTCTCTCACGCTCTCCCTTCCTCTCTGAAATCAATAAAAATAGATATATTTTAAAAGAATATAGATACAGCCTTCTCACTAACTCTTCTGCCTACAGTATCTTCTTTCAGACCACCTTTTCCTTGCTGAGAATTAAAGCATAGCTAAGAGTGTGCCATTCTCCTACCCAGAACCCTTCTGCTTACAGAATCATGTCCAAATTCCTTAGTATGGCACCCAAGGCCTCCAAGATCTAGCCCCTATTCCTCACCCAGCTTTGTCTTTCCACCGTACACTTTCCTCCTTCACAAGATTTTAGCTACATCAAATTCCTCAATACTCCCATTCCCCATTACTTTGTGCAAGCTCTCCACCTCCTGGGACTCCTTCCCATTTTATCGAAATGTTGTTAGGTTGATACATGTCTGCCTCCCTCCTTGGGGTCAGGATAGGCTTACTCATACTTTTGCAATTTATACATTTTCATACACTACTGACTACCTAATGTTTTTAAGATGTTATAAGTGATAAAAACAAACTATGCATTCACTTTAAATAAAAATTTAGAGTTAAAAATTAATAGCGCAGCCCTAACCGGTTTGGCTCAGTGGATAGAGTGTCAGCCTGCGGACTCAAGGGTCCCAGGTTCGATTCAGGTCAAGGGCATGTACCTTGTGTGTGGGCACATCCCCAGTAGGGCATGTGCAGGAGGCAGCTGGTTGATGTTTCTCTCTCATTGATGTTTCTAGCTCTCTATCCCTCTCCCTTCCTCTCTGTAAAAAAATCAATAAAATATATTTTAAAAAATTAATAGCGCACATATCATTCATTAGTGTCTTCCCTGACCTGTGCCTAGACAAAGACTGTCTATTCGGATACAAGTAATCATAATACATTGTAGCACTCTCCAGTAGCAGAAAGAAAAGGGGGAGTTTTCCAGACCTCTTCCCACATCCATTCTCATGTAAATCTCTAGGAGTCTCCTCTAATGTAATAGTTTTCAAATTTTTTTCACAAAGAACTGCTTTAAAAAACTTATGAAAATTTTGAATCTTCTCCACATATACACAAAAGTAAATTGAAATGTACAAATATACAGAAAAAGTATAATTTAAGAGGTTTCACAGTCCTCAATCCAAATAAAGCCTAGTGACCTCCCAAAATCCGAGGTCAGGTTAGCCTACCTGTAATCCCATTATTGGAAAAGTTAACTTTTCATTTCAGGTCTGTTTTGCCTTTTCCGACTTTTCTAACTCCTCTGCTAGATACTACTTCTGGTTCATCTAAAGAGTGACTAATAATTCCCACATGTCACCAAGATGCACCAGTAATTTTTACAGAATAATAGAATGCATGTAATATCAAAACGGAGCACAGGCATTAAGTGAGCTTTTTGGTGATGTAGTTAGTACTTGAGGAACTTGCAGTATCTCAGTTAAGAACTCCAGATCTGTGGCAGCCTGGCTTTGCTTGCTTGCTTGCTTGCTTGCTTGCTTGTTTGTTTGCTTGTTTGTTTGCTTGTTTGTTTGCTTGTTTGTTTTGTTAATGAGAAAGAGGAGTTTTATTTTTACACAGGGTCAGGCACAGGCACTGCCAATCATTGTCAGATGCAGGGTGAAGGAGTGTGAGGTTTGGGGCATTAAAGCGGAAGACCGTCTGGAGAGAGCTCAGAACCCTCCCTGGGAACTTCCCAGCTCAAACCAGGAAAGCAAGCACGGGGTGTCTGGGAAAGGCTACATCCAGTGGGGCTTTTTGTTGGCTCTTTTGGATTCTATTTTCTCTGACATCATTTGTCTCAGCATCAGATTCCAGGTCAGCAGCAGCCCCCAGAACTGTGGCCACAGCCAGAGCCCCCAGACTGCTGACCACTACCTTTGTCACAGGAGTCAGAGCTCTGGCGCTCCTAAGACCCCTAATTAAGGATTCGGTCACTTCCTGGCCTGTGGGGCTCAGTTGATTGGAGCATCGTTCTGTGCACCAAAAGGCCTCGGTTCGATTTTTGGTCAGGGAACATGCTCAGGTTGCAGGTTCGATCCCCAATCAGGTTGGTACAGTAGGCAACCAATTGATGTGTCTCTCTCACATCAATGTTTCCCTCTCTGTCTCCCTCCCTCACTCCCTCTCTTTTCCTCTCTCTCTAAAAATCAATTTTAAAAAACATTTTTTAAAAAATTCAATCAGGTATCAGATGTTAAATTTGTCAAAATATATCGCAGATTGAATAAAAAACATTTTTCTTCATTTAACTTTTTAGTATTCATTAAACACATGGTTTTGTGGATTTTTTTTCTTTCTGACAAAAATTAGATGATTCATTTCTTCCCCTGGCTCACCATAACCTTAGCTAAGACTTAGCTGGTCGAAGTCTCAGTTTCTTGAATCAGACAGTTGACCTGGAAAATCTCTCCAATTTTGTGAGGTTCTAACCTTCAAAATTGTGCCTGGATTTTGCACAGTACAGGACTGAATGTGGTGTCCACTGGCCACCAGAGGGCACTTTGTAGCCTGCCTTCTGCAGTGACCTAAAAAGAAAAGATGGGACTCTCTTTTTTTTAATATTTATGTTGTGTTTCATCATTTTACTTTGCATTTATCATTCTATTTTGAATGTTTATATTTTTCTTCTGCCATGGAATAGTTAGATAAGTAATGAAAAATTTCTGTACTTAACCCATCAGAAGCACATAATTTTTATGCCTCTTATATCCCCTCCATTTGCCATATTGCCGGCCTTTCTCTCTCCCCACCCACCTTCCTCTCTCTCTAAAAACCAATTCAAATCCTCCATTTGCCATATTGCCGGCCTTTCTCCCCGCCCACCTTCCTCTCTCTCTAAAAACCAATTCAAAAAATATATCCTCGGGTGAGGATTAAATAAACAAATAATACAGCCTTTTCACATTCAGACAAATATATCCATGAGAGCAGTCTCTATTAATCATCATAATATTTAAGTAAAGGTACATAGCAGTAGCATGCCCTTTGGGAAAAGACAATACATTTCATTTAATGACTATACAAATTTTCGAAGACAAATAGACGTTAGCATTTGGTGTAGTAAGTATCTGAGGTAGGAGATGAACCACCACCCTTTTCACTCTGTTCTCACTTGATCTGAGCCAAGAGTCAGAGAAGCGAAGCACCGTATTATCATATCATGTCATCTCTGATAAAGCAAATCATAATTTTTCAGCTTTTTTAAGGTCATTATGTTCTAAATAGCCTTATTAAACAGGCCTAGAGAAATGCCATGGAAAAGTGCTAGTTACTGAGGAAATGCCATCAGAAAGAACACAGAAGCATATCCGCTATTATCTGTGAAGGGAACCAAGGTTTGTTGAGTGTTCAGATGTTAATAAAGTTGGGAAAATAAAGCAACTAGAATTTGTTTTAAGTCATTACGCACTGGAAAAGCCACTGTTCTAAAACATTCATGTTTTACTCATAGGAACAACATGCCAGAATTCCACAAATTAAAAACAAAGTTGGTGAAGAAGCAAGGAGCACGGGCGTACGCCTGCCAGTGCAGCTGGAGGACTATTGTCGAACTGACTGACCTGCAGACGGACCATCAGCTGCGTTGGGTTTGTGGTAAACACTAAGAATGCAGACTTTTGCCCAGGCCGGGGGGCTCAGTTGATTGGAGCATCATCCCATAACCCAAAAGGTTGCAAATTTGATTCCCAGGCAGGGCACTTAGGTTGTGGGTTGGGTTCGATCCCGGTCCGGGTGCGTACGGGAGGCATCCAGTCAGTGTTTCTCCTCTCAATTGATGTCTCCTTTCTCTCTCTCTCCCCTACCACCTTCCTCTCTCTCTAAAAACCAATTTAAAGAAGATATCCTTGGGTGAGGATTAAATAAACAAATAATACAGCCTTTTCACATTCAGAAAAATACATCCATGAGCGCAGTCTCTATTAATCATCATAATATTTAAGTAAAGGTACATAGCAGTAGCATGCCCTTTGGGAAAAGACAATACATTTCATTTAATGACTATACAAATTTTCGAAGACAAATAGAGTTCAGAAGATAATGTGCTTTATTTAATGTTTTGGAATTACTCCTTTATGATATACTGGACATTTCATTTTGTAAACAAAGTAACAAGTTATTCAAATTCTTTGCCAGCCTCTCTTCTACTTAACGCAAGTTTAATTAAGCAGTTTTATACCAACCTATAGCCATTTATTAGCAACTGCAGCATTACTGATGCTAATACACTTAGCGTAAATATTCCTCATTCACCGCATTTAAATGGGGTAAAGCCGGCCAGTGCAGAGAGTCACTGAGGAGTATATGCATCCCCTCGTCCAGTCAGAGCTGTTGCTGCAAAGGGTCAGAGTTGATGTGGCAGAAACCTTGTCAGCACTGACTAATGGAAGGGTTTCCAGGAGTATAGGTATATTGTAAATGAATATACCACCTACAGCTGATCTGACCTCACCAACTCAAAGTGATACTATGTACAGTAATGATAAGCATGCTTTTTAGGTTTTAGCTTCTTTCTCCTCCTTTTGTTTGTATACATATTAAAAGTTACTTGGCTTTTTATTTTCGCAAATACCCATTTATATGTTTTTTAAAATTTTGATGCACCTAAAATCCCAAGGAAAGATCCAAATATGGACAGGTCATTGTTGGTTTTTTCATTACTTTCTAGCTTTTCATTCCTAAAATTATAATCAAGTAAAACGCACAGCAAGTAAGATATTTTCTCAGGCAGCCTGTTGATTTTTCTGGTGGGATCAGAGTGACATACTATTTATTAGATGAGTATGAAAAGGGAGATAGAGCATAGCCTATTGACATTACTGAGACTTGGAGAACCTACAATAGCAGCACATCTAGGAAATCAGTTACCTCAAAATTACCAGCTCCCAGCCGAGAGCTCTCTAATCTGCCAAAACCTCTTTACTGCATGTGTCTAGTTCAATTTTTGACACAAGGCATGCTGAACAAGAGTAATTGAAGCAAAGTTATGATCTTCTTAGTCTTGTGCTTAATCCAGCCACGCTACTTCAGCAAAGAAGAAAAGCCTTCTGGTCATTAAAAGCCTTCTCCAAGCCATGACACATTTGTGTAAAACTCAGTAAGTCTAGTGTTGTAACCAATCAAATCTCCTGTTGGCAGAAACTCTACTTATGAATATGTTTATAGATCTTATCTTTCAATAAAAATGTTTTACTCTCTAAAACTTTATATCACTGTAATGTATCCAGAAACAGAGGGATTTGGATTGAAGTCACCTATTTCAAAAAAACAGCACATCAATAAGATTCACACATTCAGAACCCCATGGAATTGGGCACATCTACACTAATAAAAGACAAACATGCAAATTGACCATACCTTCGCTATATCTTAAGCCATGCCCACCAGCCAATCAGAGTTATTATATGCAAATTAACCCAACCAAGATGGCGGCTGGCAGCCACGGAGCTGGAGCAAGCAGGAGGCTTGGTTGCCCCAATAATGGAGGAAGCCAAGCTTCCCAGCCGGCTCTGAGCTCCACTCAAAGCAACAAAGTTTCAACTATAGAAGGTAAATAAACCCCAGATACCTGTTTTCAGCCAGCCGTGGCCACAGAGCTGGAGCAAGCAGGAGGCCCGTCCTTGCCGCCTCTGAGCTCCACTCCAGGCTACAGTTTCAATTATAGAAGGTAAATAAATCCCAGCATAAAAAGAAAAAAAGGAAAGGCTGGGAGCTTCCATCACCAGGGAGGCTTGGCCAGCCTGAAACCGGCCTTCAGCCCCTCACCCAGGCTGGCCAGGTCCCCCAACGGGACCCCCACCCTCATCCGGGACCCCCTTCAAGGCAAACCAGCCGGCCCCCACCCATGCACCAGGCCTCTATCCTATATAATAAAAGGGCAATATGCAAATTGACCCTAACAGCAGAACAACGGAATCACTTGTCACTATGACACACATTGACCACCAGGGGCCAGATGCTTAAAGCAGGATCTGCCCCCTGGTGGTCAGTGTACTCCCACAGGGGGAGCTCTGCCCAGTCACAAGCCAGGCTGACAGCTGTCAGTACGGTGGTGGTGGTGGGAGCCTCTCCTGCCTCCTCAGCAGCACTAAGGATGTCTGACTGCAGCTTAGGCCTGCTGCCCGCTGGCAAGTGGACATCCCCCGAGGTGTCCCAGACTGCGAGAGGGCACAGGCCAGACTGAGGGACCCCCCCTCCCAGTGCACAAATTTTTGTGCACTGGGCCTCTAGTTAGTCATAATGGTGATGTTTGTTTTGTATGCAAATGAACAAATTTACTAAATTATTAATTTAAAAATATACTTTCATTTCATCATAACTATCCTATAACTTGGATATATTACCCATGTTTGGCATTTTACTTATTTATTTATTCCTCACTCGAGGACATGCTTAGAGAAGGAGAAACATTGATGTGAGAGAGAAACATTGATCTGTTGCCTTCCATATGTGCCCCAACTGAGGATCCAACCCACAGTGCCAGTTTGTGCCCTGACCAGGAATTGAACCGGCAACCTTTTGGTGCACAGGACGATCAACTGGGCCACTCTGGCCGGGCTGTCTGTCATTTTATAACAGTAATTGTAAATCATTCCCTGTTGTCAGAAACATATATATGACTTTATGTTTAGTTTGGAATTTACTTTACAAGCTTTTTAATATTATACATTTTAATCTAAGATACAGAAAAAATGTTATTTTATATACAAAGGGATAAATTATTACCAGTTATAATTCAAGCCAAACTGCAATTACTTCAGTATCAATGTAAACAAAAATCATAGTTTCTGGTGAACTATAATTTTAAAATGCAAAATCTGTAAAATTTACGAGATGGTTTGCCCATTTGTTTTCAATGTTTATAATAATTTCCTACCTTTAGCAAGTACTTATTTTTTTGTCAAGCAGGTGGCTACTTTATTTGAACTATATTATATTCTCTGGTCCCTATCCTACCAAAAAATGAATAAATAATAAATAGCTTTATTCTGTATTTAGTAACATTTTTATTGTGTAGTAAAACATCATATTGGGATTAATTTGAAATAATTTTGATAATTTTTTTTAAATGTATTGGGGAGGAGAAGCATACCATAAGGGGGCGGCGGGGGGGGGGAGAGAGAGAGAGCAAGCATATATAACAAAATGTGGGTATTTAAATGAACCAGGTCCAAGTTCTGGAAGAGCAAGCCGTGTTGAAATGGTGGTGTAGCATCCTTCTTTTCTTGAGTGAAAGAAGATGTCATCAGACTATACTTTTGAATTGCTTTTCCTCCTTCATTTACTGATCTGATATTTAAAAATAAGAACTAAAAGGTCTTTGTATCCAATCAGTACTCTGATGAAACTTAACAGTCACTTTCAAATGTTGATTTTCCTCAGTTGTTAAGTTTTAACAAAACTTCTATCAGCTAACAAACTACCCCTATTAATCAGCTTAACCTATTATTATTTAGAATCGTTCTTGGGCTGGTGTGCCTAGGTGGTTAGAGCACCAGCCGCCTGCTCACCAAGGGATTGCAGGTTCAATTCCCAGTCAAGGGCATGTACCTGGGTTGCAGGTTCAATCCCCTAGGTCCATGGTCGGCAAACTGCAGCTCGTGAGCCACATGCGGCTCTTTGGCCCCTTGAGTGTGGCTCTTCCAAAGCCTTAGGAGTACCCTAATTAAGTTAATAATAATGTACCTATCTATATAGTTTAAGTTTAAAAAATTTGGCTCTCAAAAGAAATTTCAATCATTGTACTGTTGATATTTAACTTTGTTGACTAATGAGTTTGCCGACCACTGCCCTAGATGTATCTCTCTCACATTGATGTTTCTCTCCCCCCCCCCTCCATCCCTCCCTTTCAGTCTCTCTAAAAATCAAGGGGAAAAAATATCCTCAAATGAGGATTACAAAAAAAAAAATAGTTCTTGAAGGGAAGAAAATATTCAAACTATACAGTCTCTTTAGAGTTAACATATTTATTTGTGTATATGACACCATTTTGTGCCCTCTTTTCAAAGATTGCATGGGATATATAGATATACATGTGGCTGATAAATTTATTTTCAGACTTTCCCCAAATGCCTTGAGATAATGGGTGACAACATGAAGTGTTACAGAATCAGAGTTGAAAGTCACATCCCTTGGGAAGTTACTTAACTTTTTGGTTTCATTTGCCCAAACGAAATGGTGACAACTCTTTTGTAGCTTAAGTATTATGACAAGATGTTTATTTTTTCATTCCCTAAATATTCCTTATAAGAAAAGCAGCTATGCTATTGTTTTTATTTTATAACTAGTAAATGTAAATATGTCCGGCTTTAACTTTATATAAGTTGAAGCTACAACTTTCAAAAACAAACCAAAAATCCACTCACCCTAGTCTCTTCCTGTCTGGTTTAAACCTAATTGTTCATCATGAAGGCATGCTGGGTCTTTCACAGTATCTTTTCAGCGTTATCTGCCTCTGCTTCTCTCTTTCAACCAAATCTATATCCTACCCACGGTCCCTTAGATATACCTCACGTTTTACTGTCTTGATATTTCTTCTCTTCCTTATCTTATCCTATCTAAGTTTGACTCATTTTTCAAAGCCTATATCTTGTACACCAATGGTTCTCACCAATGGAGTCCCCAGGAGTCTTGGGCGTGGGGGGGTGGGTGGGGGGTGGTGGCATATGGTCAAACCTATTTTAGTAACGTTAAGATATTAAAGCTGCTGGCAGGCACCTTACGTAACATGATCCAAAGCAGTGGCACTATGCACTTGCAGGAGAAAAAGCCAACTTCACTTAAAAATCTCCTTGATAAAGGTAGTAAAAACTATTAATTTTATCAATCTCAGCCTTCAGGAACATATCTTTTTAATATTCTGTTATGACTATGGGGAGCACACAAAAAGAACTTGTGCAATTGAGTTGTATGCTGAACAACTCTTCATGGAATCCATTTTTGCTTGAAAGAAAACTGACAGATAAACTGTGGTTATTCAGAATATTGAATATTTGCCATACATTTTCTCAAAAATGAACTGAGTCACCTCCAGTATTTGTTGGCAATGATAAAATTCAAGTCCTCAAGCAAAAATTTGAATTTTAGGAAATTTGTATTCACCAGTGACCATGACATCTTCCTCATACTTAGACTTTTCTGATAAGACTAGTGGTGATATAAACAAATAAAATCTTTGATACTATATCATGAAACATGACAATATTTGGAAGATCTGTATAATTCAGCAAACCAATATTACCAAGCCACCAATGCATGATATTACAAAACTGTGCATTTAAAGTGCAAGATAGACCAATGGCTTTTAATGTAGCAAATACTAAAAGTTCATTGATATGATTTCAGTTTCCTCATTGCACTTAACTTTTAAGAAACTAGCACTTAGAAAGTTTTGATGTAGTCATGCAGAACAGTCACGTGAGGCCCAATTTTCTTCTTAGGCTTCAACCAAAACAACGTCTCAAGAGAGTGAGTGCAGCAGCAGATGTGCGAGTCCAGCTATCGTCTATCAAGCCAGAGAGTCAAGAGATGGGCAGAAATGTGAAACAAATGTCACTCTTCTCACTACATTTGTTTTGGGAAATACAGATATTTTCACAAAAATTCAACAACACATAGTGGTTTTATTTTTTTAATTAATAGTATTTAATGTTCTTAGTTTTAATTTCTAATACAATAAATATCCTATGCAATAAAAGGCTAATATGCAAACTGTCCCCTCGACCAGGAGTTTGACCAGCGGGCGGGGTCAGCCAGCCAACCACCCACGGCCCCTCCCCTGGGCCAGCCCCACCCCTGATCAGCCCACCCCAATCTGGGCGGGCCGGCCAGACCCCACCCATGCACAAATTCGTGCACTGGGCCTCTAGTCAATAGATAAAACTACCAAAAAAACACAAGCTAGTTGGGGTTCATAATAATTTTTAAGAGTGAAAAAGGGGCCTGAGACCAAAAGGGTTGAGAAGTGTTGTACACTATCCAGACTACCCTCCCTTCCCACAACCTACCCCAGCCAAACAGTGTAATTTCTCCTCCCATTTGCTTTTGAATTTTCTATTTCTTAGATAGTACCTTGTATTATAATTATCTGTGTGCTTATTTTATTCTCCTTGGAGATTAGATATCAGACTCTACTGTCTGGGACTGTTCTGCCGCTGACTTCCTGGATCATTGTGAGTAAGCAACCGTGTCTTCAGGCTGACCTACAAAATGAGAGTTGGATTTAATGATATAACTTTTCTTCTTACAGCCACACAAAAATAGAAATGGCTACAAACAAGTACCTTTCAATAATAACTTTAAACGTAAACGGACTAAATGCTCCAACCAAAAGACATCGAGTGGCTGAATGGATAAAAAAACATAACTTTTCTTCTAGCTTGCAATGGTATGAATACTGTTCCTTTTAAAATACTTTATAGACCCAATGTAACACTAGCCATACATTGGGACAAGGGGAAATACATGTTGTGGAGAAGAGCTCAGATTCTGGGGTCAAAGAGATGTGAGTTTCAACAGGATAGGATCCAGGCCGGTGTGGCTCAGTGATTGAGGATCGACCTATGCACCAGGAGGTCGTGGATCGGTTCCCAGTCGTGGCACATGTCAGGGTTGCAGGCTCCATCCCTAGTCGGGGGAGGGGGTATGCAGGGGGCAGCCGATGGATGATGTTCCTCTCGTCGATGTTTCTATCTCTCTATCCCTCTCCCTCTCTCTCTAAAAAAATTAAAATGCATGCCTTAAGGACAACTTTCTGCCATGATTCTAGACAGGCGTTCCCTTCCAGCTTTCTTCCTATTTGGATGTAAACATCTTTAGAACCTCCACGCCTCGTCTTATCCACTTAAAGGGAGCTGCAAGGCACAGTGCGTTTCACGTACAGTGCCCACCGCGCTGTGCTGGGTTTGTGGCAACGCGGCCAAAGGCACTCGTCATCAGACAGGAGAAGTCACGATTTCCTAGGGAGTTGCAGTTGTCGGTCTTTAATGGTAAGTGGCTTTGATTCTGGTCAGTACCAAACATCAAACTACAGACATCTGCAGGCCGAGCTAGTACATCTAGGCTATTTCACAACCTAGTGAAACTCAACACTGGACATTCCCCACTTGCTCATCGATTATAACATCACCAGAATGGAAACCGCCAGCCCGTGTGTCAGTACTTGTGCTAGAAACATACATTGCTTCCGGGCGGGAGAAAGGAAAGCTTAAACTTCCCCTTTTCTAGTCTACAATTCTTACTGCAATTTTGGGACAGCTGTTGAGTCATCAAGTCCAACCTCGGCCATCACTGAGGCCTGGGGGGCCCCGCCAAGGAAGGCTCTCCTGCAGGAGCCTTCACAGGGCTAAGCTAGTGACCGCGAAGAAAAACAAGATAAATTTGGCTCCAGGGACTTGGGACTTTATTTTTTTAAATTGTTTTATTGCTTAAAGTATTACAAAGAGTATTATATATGTCTCCTTTTTTTTTCTCCCCTTGACTCTCGCCTAGCCTCCCATGCCCCCCAGTGTCTTGTGTCCATTGGTTATGCTCGTATGCATACATACAAGTCCTTTGGTTGATCTCTTACCCACCCACCCCTCATTTATGAATAATTAAAACCATTATAAACTGATGAGCAAAAATAGATACAGAGGCAGAGCAACATCAAACAGACTGTAAGACTACAACCGGAAGGCTGGGGAGGGTTGGGGACTTGGGGACTTTAAAAGACTCAACATTCTGAGCCTACAGGTTTGGTGAGACTAATATTGAGAATCTAACCCATAGGGGGCAGGCGTGTACTGAGGACCCGATCTCCTTTCCTTCATGGGCTTTGGAAATCTTCTAAAACATCATCCGTTCTGTTTTTTATCAAAATCTGCCTGCTGTTTTTATCGGAATGAAAATAGAAATCGCCCCAGGTCGAAACCACCCTGTCTAAAGGGGTAGGCCCCAGGCGCTAGGTTGGTCTGACCCAGGAAATTTACTCAAAAGCACTTGTCATCTTCAGCTTGTGGAAGGAAATGGAAACGTTAACTGATTCGCCTCAAAAACCAAGCCGTTAAGCGCTTCCAGGATTCAAAGTTAAAGAGGAGCAATGCGCTAACTCCTCACCTACAGCAAAAGGTGGGGAATCCAGGTGACAGCTCGGCAGAGGGGGCTGAGGAAGTTCCTGGCGCCAATTATCTGGGTGTCGGGAGTCTTGGAAATTATCAAGTCCAGCCAGGAGCAGGTGGGTCCCAAAAAAGAGTATTTTTGATGCTTTGCCTGCCCTTTAGCCTAATCCTTCTTCCTCTCAACTTGTCCCGTGTGTGGCCTGCACAGGCCAGATCTCTCCAGATTCTCCCCTGGGACTTTCGTCCATCTTTTCATCTCCCCTTCTTCAACCAAAACAAACCATCCTGTTAAGCCTATCAGGGGGTCCCCCACTGAAAACAACTCCCCCACCGAAAAAAGAACTGATAAATAAGTGCCTTCCACCAGCTGTTAGAGCTGATAATAGCTCCTGGTGGTTCTGCGCTCTCATGGATCATCTTTTTTAACTTAATTTTTGAAAAGACAATACATTCACGGGGCTCAAAATTCAAACAATGTAGAAATTCTCATTCCTAGGCCTGTATGCCTTCCACTGGGCCATTCGAATCCCAGCTCTGTGGAAGTGACCATTTTAGTTTTTGTGTCTCTTTTCAGAGTTACTTTATACTCATACAAGCAAGTACAGATTATATAATTACAGAGAATTCTCAGTTCTCAGGACTCTCTTAATCCTGCTCCCAGTAGGACTTCAGACACTGAAAACCTCACTGAGCAACAGGCCTTTCCCAGGGCCCCTTCGTCATGACTTGTAAGTGGCTGCCCTCTCAGAGTTGAAGTTCCCTGCTCCATGAACAATTGGTTCCAATGGGATTCCGTCACAAGACCATCACCCAGGAAGAACCACAACCCGCTGCCTCAGTTCCAGGTATCAGACGAAGACGTCATGGCGTTGGAGAAGCTCTGAGGCCCCACTTCTCATTAGTTGGTTCACTTGTTGAACATTCCTATGGGCCAGTCACTGAGCCAGACCCTGACGACACAGATAAATTCCCTGCGTTCATGGCGAAAGGAAGACAACAGAAGCCAAGGCTGTCATTTAGAGAAATTCAATTGCAACTGACAGCAGATCCAACCCAAACAGGTCTATGTGTCAAAAGGGAATTGAAAGGTTCTCTAAGGGAAATGTGCAAGGATGGAGTTGGCTTTAGATACAGCTAGATTCAGCGCTTAAATGATGTCACTAGGAGCCGTCTCTTGGTTCTGCTCACTCTGGGTTGGGTAAGTTTTCAGGCTCCTGTTAAAGAACAAAACCATGCCAATTTGAAGATCTAATTGGCTTTATGAAGTGACTCATGTGTTGGGCAGCATCCAATCTCACAACCAGAAGGGCTCTGAGGGGTCATACAAAATGGAAGGTTTTTATAGGAAGAAAGGTAGAACAAGGGAGCTATTAGCAAAGAGTAGAAAGGATTATTTTTAGGCCAAGACAGCTTTATTAGAGGGTGAGGTTTGGGGGAGGGGGGAGGGATGCAGGGTTTTATCATGCAGATTGCCTCTCTTCCTATGGGAGGGATGGAGAGGGCCCACACTGAACACCTCACTGGAGTTGACCAGAATATTCCAGACTGTTTGTTTACGATTACATTTCTGGTGTATTCCAAAACTGCAATTAGGCCGTGAGCCCTTAGCACAAGTGACGCCATACTGGGTCTGTGGTTTTCTCTTTTAACACCGTGAATGGTGGCCCAAGCAACCTCAGGCTCATACCATCACCACCTTAGGTCAGTGGAAGTGAGCAAGTCAGTGATCTCAGACTTAAACACATGTTCACCCCACCCATCAATTACAAGTGAGGTGAACATTTGAAAGGGGAGCTGCAATGTGCAAAGAAGGAAACTGACTTGGGGTGAGGTGTCAGGGACGTGCTCCCTAATGAAGAAGCAGACCTCACTCAGGTGAAGGCTGTAGGTTTGTGTTCACGGAAGGAGAAACTGGCATGAGAGGCCCAGAGGCAAGAGAGAACAAAGCCCTTTGAGGAACTTATAGCTTCACAATATGGCGCCCAGAGAACAGGTGTGGGGAGAGAGGGCGACCAGGGGGAGTGACCTGAGTGAGGCAGGCAGCTCAGACGGGACAGGAGCCTGTAAGATGGACCTGTCACCTTGAACCCAAGCCAGAGTCCACTGCTGAACTCGACACCTCACGGTTCTCTGGTGGGCTGAGTGTTCTACATGTCACCCACATGGTTGCTGGGGTCCCAGTGCTGCATGAATATGAGGATCAAATCTGACCAGTAGGTCACTTCCCTGCTTTAAACACAGACAGAGGCTCATATTCAACATGGCCTTTGAGGCCACCCCAGAGCGGCTGCTGCTCACTGCTGATGGGCCAGGCTGCCTGCTCTCCGGGCTCCTGTCTCTCCCCACCTTGGCTTCTGCCTGGCTGCTGGTCCCACACCCCCAATTCCGAGGGGGATCAGGACAGGTGTGGGCACCAGCTGCGAGCCTGTCCCTAGGACCTGTGCTCAGGAGCAGCGTCTGGCCTCAGGCTGTACTCACCGGGGCCGCCTCTCCCTCAGACACCCACCTGGACGCCCCCCCTATGGACTGTGACAGCAGGAGGGTGAGCAGTGACCATCTGGGGTGAGGAGAGAGCAGCAGAGCAGG